GCATCAAAGGATTTTAAGAAGTGATTATTTCATCGGACTGAGATTGGACTATTTTGTTTTAAGGGATCACACAGCTAAGACATAATAGTTGTAGAATGCTCAACCTTGATTCTATTTAAACGCTTTTCAAATTTACCATCGAATAAATTAAAACGAAGAGTCTACGAGAGATTATGATGCTACGAAGGTTTTACTTGACTGTTGATCGGTAGCTCGAATAAGGAGCCATAGTGTGGCAGAAGATCACTCGACAAAGTAAGAAGCTGTCGGCTAAGTGAAGCACAGAAATTCAATCAGCTCCTTACCTTTAATGACACAAAAGCATGTAGCTATGGATGCACACTAAAAACGTTTTTCAGCAACTCAGGTGTAGAAGATAAGATGAGACACAATTGGTCTAAAATTATTGCGGTATGAACATTATTCAGTGTTCGGTTAATGAACAGCCATAGATGCAAGGTCAATTTTATGTTTCTCTTGTTCTTAAAGTTAAACCACATAATTGTTTACCGCGACGATATGATGCGCACTGACAACAAATCAATCGGAGGCTGCCAAAACGCAAATACGTCTTATTTGAACACGCATCCAAAGTTAGCATAGATACAAATCAAAGAATGAATTCATTGTACCTATCCATTCTTGCAAGACCTACACCGGCGTTTTAGAGCGTTGTGCTTCCTTTTGTAATTTCCTCAATAAACGAGAGATGCGTTTAGTAACATGTCTCAATTCAGCAAGTAGCATTGATTATTTATTCGCTATCATAATTAGTAAACTTGGACAATGGTCTTCAATAAATACATCGAGCTTACAATCGATTAAAAGAATGACACTCATCGCGATTTATAACTATGTCTATTTTGTATGATAGGTTCATTCAGCTGCGATCTTTTCGTCGTAAGCAAGGTCAAAAACGAACGCTAATATTGATAAAAAAATTAGCGAGGGGCATGTGACCGAGACGAATTTCGTTGAATATTATTCACCTTTCGCGTGCGTAGATAAAATGTACATACATATAGTGCGTTCATTCTAATAGAATGAAGCCTACGATGGTTCTGGGGTTGACGTCGGGTACCAAGAAAAATATATCGTATTGATAAGACATTTAATTTGTGATACTTATTTACAAAAATAATGAATGAATAGCCTCTATTGCTCATTAACATGTAAATAATAATATCGTACAGAGAAGTTGTGATTCCCACAAGTATGTTAGAATTTTGCTATTGAGGTTAAGAGGGTTTCACAACGCACAAATACGTAATTAAAGATGCAGCACATCTTCTTAGACAAGTGCGGGATGCTGCCTCGGGCTTTTGAGAGTTTTGTTTTTTTCGTGTTCAGAATACATACTCCATTAATTCGTTATGTTTAAATGTTTTACGTCTCAAATGAGAGTAACACTGTACGCGTAGAAATAGCGCATTAATTGCTAAATGGATTTTCGCAAGCGAGATAAGAAAATATAACATGATATTGCCATGAATTCCAGGGGGTACGACCTGATCCAAATAATAGGGATGATGAAGAAGTGTCCGGCTTCATTTAATATCATTCTCCATCAAAATTCTCATCGCTTATAAGCGTACTTGCTTGAGCTCTCACGCGGTCTCGCTGATACGACCGAGCATCGATCTTGTTTGCTTCAGATTATATCAAATGATTTGTCGTAAAACATCTTTATGTGTGCCATTCTTAACATATTATGTTCGTTAGCTCATTTAATGTATTCGTTATCCTATCTTTGCGACGCTGTACGGGCATGTAGCGTTTCTTTCACCGCATAACACGTTATAATGGATGTTACACAACAAGGCCGTCACGACCGACACACCACGGTTTGTCGTATCACTCATTATGACATGCATCTGCGCATGACCAATACGTGCAAAATGTTCTTAATGCTCGTACTGTATTATAAACTTATTCTAATTTTATTCAGAACGTTCACTGGCTTCCCGGTAAATCATTGGTCCGAAGTTAAGCGTATGATTGCGATATGTATCAGCTTGGATACCCTTTTCCGTCCGTCGTGCACGCGTTTTGTAATTTGGCCTGTTGTTACAATGCAAGTTTTGTACTTTTCAGCCTTTATCATTTTTATTGAGTTACACCAAAAAGTGCAATCGAAATTGTAATAGTGAAAGAGCTTGAAAAATAATACAGTCATCTCTCTGTCGCCGAGCAATATACAGAGCCCGGATGTGCTGTAGAATTTACTGACACCTATTAACACTACATATAATGTCGTGTAGTCGTGTCCAAAAGATACTTCCATTTACCGCACAGTATCATTCATGCGTAGTAAGTTCATTTGCAAACTGGTTCCAGCTCGCTACGAAGCAGGAGCACGAGCCGAAACACGAACGACAACAGCTTGGATCAGCTCGTTAATTTTGCTTTGCTATCAATGTAAGCTGTCCAAACATTGTGGAGCCAACCATCTAGCTGTTTCCTGAATTACTTGAGCCCACTGGCAACGGCCTGATCAATTACTAGCGCCCACTACAGGAATAGCTTGCTGTAGAGTCTATTCCTGAGGTAGTAGCGCGCCAAGACAATGATGATAAATGCTACAAAGAAGGTGTGTGACGAATTATCACGACATCATTCAGCAGTAGCCACTGTTTGCTGCCAATTGATAGCAACTTTGCATTGAGCTTGTCACTGTACCGCCAACCGGTGTCATTGCAAGTAGAGTAGAAGGGTGCAAGCGCTTTGGAATGCACTAAATGAGTCAAGCAGCAACGTTGCATTCAATAATGGAAAAGCGTTTAGCCGTAAAGCCAAGTCGAAGTTTGTTTGGTGCGCAGGTGCTGTAAAATTTCTTCACCAAGTGCACCCCATGCAGCCATTTCGTGTAGTTGTCCATGCTCATCTGCGAAAAAGCAAATGCAGCTGGCGCTACGACTTTCATAACAACACCCATATCGAAATCTCCGACAACGAGCTTGTTCGCCCCCGTTGCATCATTTTTCTCGTGCAGTAGCGCCAGACTTTTGCTGCGGCCGTTCAAAAAGATGCGAACAGCTGAGATGTTTGGCGTACAATGCTTCACGCTCCGCAGATTAATGGAGCCTTGCGACAGTAGGAAAAGCAACCACCCAGCTCCTGAAGCTCCTGAACTTGCTCTTCGAACTTGGCCACCAGATACATAAGTTGATTCCAATCTTGCTCTGACTGTATACCATCGATGCGCGAGAGCGACAAAATAGTTGGGCGAGCCGTCAGCAGTCGTAGAGGCCTATATCCACATCATTTAGCACAACCAAGCCTTACCGCTATCAGCTATGCAATCATTCGAAGGGGCCACACAGCGTACACGCCAGCAACAACTGTGATATTGTTAACGCATTGACAAACGTCAAAAGAAAGCGACCGTCGGCGCGAGGAGCGCAAATTTGTTCCCGTTGCTTGCAAGAGGACTGCATTGCATGCACACCGGGTAAAGCACGCAGATGGCTTGCCACCGCCACATGTAGACATATCGTTGACGACGCAGAGGAGGCCGCATGCTTTAATCCGGTCAGCTGAAACACTCGATGCGTGCTCAGCAAAGCCTTCAGTAACTGACTGTCTGCAGCTTTCCAACCACCGCTTGTTCATCCATAGCAACAGCTTTACGAACCACACCACGTGTGCTTGCTTCTACGAATTGGAAGAAACACAAGATGCCCAGAATCCCGCAAATAGAGCGATAAATGGGCGTACATGGCGAGCGCCTGGGAAGCACTCGGTTGTTGAAAGCAAACACAGGTGGTGCAGCGTAACAAGCACAGAAACTGGCACACTAGCACAATAGACGTGATGATGAGCACTCTTGCGGTGCTCCTGACTTTGTGCAGATTTGCCATGCTTCTCCACGGATTCCACGCAGGTCAAATTACAAAAGCGCTTTACACCGGAACCGTCTTGAGCATCCAGTCGTGCAAAGAAGCTACGCATCCAGTCAAAAGTCATGCGCACTGATTCGTGTTTACTTTCTTGTTTAACTTCAGGTCGTGACTCGCGTGTACCCTCCTTGCGCCTTGTTTTCCCTTCATCCAATGATGTCCTGTTGCTGTTTCAATGTCGACACACACTGCGGATAGATTACTGACATGTGCAGGTCCTGCGTCCACCACAGAGCGCTCTCGTTTTGCAACGCACAAAGCAAATCAGGGGTTGCAGCCTCAAATCACCAGCCCTTTTGAGCAAAGTCTTTGCACAAAGGTCTCGTGTGCGCATCAATTCCAGACGTCAAAACACTTGATCAGTAGCCGCATACACCTCATTCTCGACACTCGCTTGCTTCCTCTTTCCACCGTCCACTAGCGCCGGCACACCGCGCAGCGCAATGGACTGCTCACGATACTCCAGCAGCTGCCTCTTCCTTCATGAAGCGTCTTCACACACACAGAATGCACTTCATCTACATGACTGAACATGAAATGGCGATGGATTGACCAACACACGACTCCAGAGCCACGTGTTTGTGCGGCAAACGAGACAGCAGCACTGGACCTGATTTACAGACTGATCAAAACACATCGGACGTCGGTCTCGTTCCATCGCTCCACCAGTTGTACAGTCCTTCGCCTCGTGTCTCCATCTTCGACGCGAACGAATGTAACGGGATCGTTCAAACGCGTCAAAATTGTCGTCTGCAAGTGTCAAGAATAGTGTCAAAAAGGTGACAAACCGCGCTGCGTCATAAAGGACCTCCTTGGGCAGCCAGTTCCCACGTAATGCAGCACCCGTTGCCACTCGCCCACACTGCGCTTTGCGTCTCTGGATTTTCAGTGTGTCGCGCGCACGTTCCACGGCGTAGTGAGGCTGCGAACGCACGCACGCACGCACGTACAGTAGCCACAGTGTTCGATGGCAGCGCGCGTTGACACCTCTGTGACCCGATAATCGTCCGCAATTCAGTGTCAGAGGTCAATGACTGCACCCATTTGTGCGTCAAACGTGGAACGTCGAATGGCTACATTCACAACCGGCCAACGTGGCAAATGAACCCCACAGGCGGCAGCAGCAGCAACAGCACACGTCGGGCCATTGACTTGACACGATGCGCCGCGTCCCGCAAGCGACAGCGCTCGTTCTTCGACGACTCGGACGACGAAGCAGACAGCAGCCGCAGCACAAACGAGACGACCGCAACGGCCACGGCGCTGGACGTGATCCGACAGCGTCGACATCGCCTCGAGGCCTCTCGCAACTCTTTGCTGTTGGCCGAGACGCGACCGCTCGAGCCGTCTAACGGTCACTCGTTCTTCCGCAGTACCGCATCAGCTACGAAGTCGATCGAGTTGGCAGCGGATCTGGTCGCACGAGCGAACGACAAAGTGTTTGGCAACCAGAGCTTTCGAACGAACCAGCGACAGGTGATCGAAGCCACGATGCGCGGTCAAGACTGCTTTGTGCTCATGCCTACAGGAGGCGGCAAGAGCCTGTGCTACCAGCTGCCGGCCGTGCTGTCGAAAGGCGTGACGATCGTCGTGTCGCCGCTACTGTCGCTGATTCAAGACCAAGTGACAGCGTTGGTGCACAATGCAAAGTGTGGCATTCCTGCTGCTTTTTTGACGAGTCAGACCGTCCTGACGCTCAAGAGGTCCATTATGGCCGAGCTGAGACGGTCGACGCCAAGCGTCAAGTTGCTGTATCTGACACCCGAGAAGATTGTCAAGTCGGACGAGATGATGGAGATACTCCAGACGTTGCATCGCAATGGGGCACTGGCGCGCTTTGTGATTGACGAAGCGCATTGTGTAAGTCAGTGGGGACACGACTTCCGGCCGGAATATAGCCAGCTGGGGTTGCTCAAAAAGACTTTTCCAGACGTGCCGCTCATGGCCTTAACAGCGACCGCTCCGCCTAAGGTGATTCAAGGCGTGCAGCGCTCGCTGCATATCTCGAAGGGACTGGTGTTTACAATGAGCTTCAACAGAAAGAATCTCACGTTTGAGGTTCGCGACAAGCCTCTGGGCGGCGACGCAAAGGCCATGGACGCACTGTACCAGCTCATTTCGACGACGTATGCACCGGATGCGGTTGGCATTGTGTATTGCATGACGAAGCAGGATAGCGAAGATGTGGCCGACTACCTACTTGACCGCGGCCTAAGCGCTGACTTCTACCATGCGGGACAGTCGGCAACCGATCGACACATGGTGCAAGAAGCGTGGCAGAATGGGCAGCTCAGTATCGTGTGTGCTACAATCGCTTATGGCATGGGCATCAATAAGCCCGACGTGCGCTTTGTCATCCACTTTTCGGTAGCCAAGTCCATCGAAGGCTACTACCAAGAAGCAGGGCGCGCGGGGCGAGATGGCGAGCCGTCGCAGTGCATCATGTTCTACAGTCCGCGTGACGCGTCCAAGTTGCGCAGTATCCTCTTCATGCCGCAAAAGGGCATGACCAAGAAGACACGTGCCGTGCACGTGGAGAAGCTCCGACTAATGGCCAAGTACTGCGAGGACGACTCGACCTGCCGTCGTGTGCAGCTCATCTCGTACTTTGGTCAAAAGTTTGAGCGCTCAGAGTGCAATCGAACGTGCGACAACTGCCGACGCACCCAGCGCGTCGCTCACGCAGGCCGTGTTGATCGCGCAAATCGATGAACAAGCGAGTAAGTGACAGTGTCGTTTGCTCACACCCGAACGGGTTCAGTCGTTCCATTGCTTCTTACACTGCACGCACTTGTAAAACGTCGTGGATGGTTCGTCGGCTGACCGGATCTGGATCTGCATGAAGTACGCTTTGGTGAACTCACAGTGGGGGCACCGCGCTGATCATCGACACAGAGAGCACGAGAGAGAGTGGAAACAGAGAGAGCGCGAGAGCGGAAACAGAGACGGCATGAGTCGCGGCGACTTCGAGCAGCCGAGCACTTTAAAGCCACGTACTTTCCGTCTGGTCGACGTTCTCCCACGCCTCGTCACCGCCCAGCACGTCGTCCACTTGTTTGCGCTGGAGCGGCACTTTCTTCTCGACCTTGTCATGGATCTGGAAGAGGTAGGGACAGGTCTGGCAGAAGAAGCGCATGCCGTCGGACTATCACGCGCAAAAGACACAGAAACACGCACGCGTCAACGGGATCAGCGGTCCTGCACCGAGGCAGAGCGAGACAGAGCGACGAAGACCGCTCACGTGAAGCATCACGTCGCACGCACGTCAGGCTCGACGAGCAAAATGTTCCCGCAGCAGGGGCAGAAGTGCATGACGGAGCGGCGGCCGGGGAATGAATGGCGGCCCGGGCGAAAGGGTCCAAAAGCGCGATTTTAGCCAATCACGGGGCGCGTAGACCGGCGTGGGCGTCGCGGACGGGTCTGCTTGCGTCAGTGCGAGCGGGAGACGGACACTGGACACGCGCGTCAACAATGACCGCTATGGTGTACGACAGCTGGGGCAGCCCAGCCGACCGCTTTCATGGCGCCATGTGTCTAGGCATTGACTTAGGAACGACGAACTCGTGTACGTGCTGGCGTCGCTTTGGTCGCTTTCTCGCGCTCGCTCTTTGTCGGTCGAGACGGTTTGATTGTTGACGTCTTTTGTAACAACCGCAGGTGTCGGTATTTGGCACGTCGAGCGCAATCACGTCAAAATGCTCAAGAACCGCTCGGATCGAGGTCGCACGATGCCGTCGGTAGTGCATTTCGACCCCCAAAGTCAACACGTTGATGTCGGTAATGCCGCTGTGGAATTTGAGACGGTACCACCTGTCGGAAACACGATTCGCTCGATCAAGCGGCTACTTGGTCGAAAATTCGTCAGCAAAGCAGTGGACGTAGCTCGAATATACGCATCGTATAGCGTGGTACCCACAGCGCAAGGCAATGTAGGATTGCGAGTGGTTCGCGGAGGAAAGAAGGTACAAGTTCAGCCTGAAGAGATTGCAGCAAGCATCCTTGCTGAGCTCAAAGCGTCGGCTGAAGCATATTTTGACGGTCGGATCAATTTTAACAATGTGGTGATCACGGTCCCGGCTTACTTCAGTGACTCCCAGCGAAAAGCGACGCTCACTAGTGCATCGATGGCTGGGTTCCAGATTGTGAGGTTGTTGAATGAGCCTACAGCAGCAGCAATGGCTTACGGTCTGTTCCTGTCTGGTACGAAACTCGTGACAGTATTTGACTTTGGAGGAGGAACGTTGGACGTGTCGTTGTTGCGTATCGAAGACGGCAAGTTTGAAGTGTTGGGGATTGGAGGTGATACGAACCTGGGAGGAGACGACATCAATAACGTTCTAGTGGATCATTTGATAGAAGTGCTAGACCGACATCATAACGTGACTCGAGCTCAGGTGGAGGACTTAGACTTGGTAAAGATAAAGCGAGAAGTGGAAAAGGCGAAGATTATACTTTCGGAAGAGGAATTTGCGGTCATTACGGTAGACATTGCAGATGTGCCTGCAATCACGTATACGCTCACGCGATGCAAGTTCGAACAGTTGTGCGACCCGATCTGGAAAAAGTAAGAGGTGTTGCGTGTCGCACTGTGACGCCACGACACTCACAAATACCCACTCATGTATCTGTGTATTTGTCTATTTTATCTTTGCTTTTTGATCGATGAAGGTGCCTTCGAATCGTGTCGGGTGTGCTAGAGGAAGCAAAGGTGGAACTATCTGATGTTGACGAAGTCATACTCGTAGGAGGTTCGACTCGGATCCCGATATTGCGCCAGCAGATATCGGATGCTTTTAGTGGCAAAGTACGTTACAGCATCTTGTTGCCGTGGTTTTCTTTTCTGGCTTACCAACGTATGCGCTATAGGAGCTGTGCATGTCTGTGAACGCAGATGAAGTGGTGTGCGAAGGTGCTGCTATCCAGGCAGCCATCTTGTGCGGTGTGGATCAGCGCGTGTTTCGAGACGTGCTAATGATGGATGTCCTTCCACTGCCCATTGGACTCGAGACGGCAGACGGGAGCATGGAAGTAATTCTTCCCAAAAACGCACGCATTCCGACATCAGTGACGAAGTATTTTCAGACGTATGAGGACAATCAGCGTGGGCTTACGGTCGAGGTGTACGAAGGCGAAAACGAAGTCGCCAAGGAATGCGACCACATTTGCTACTTCAACTTTGCACTTCCCCGCGATAAGATCGGCAAGGCGGGTGAGTTTGCGCATCCAGTCACATTTACAATGAATGCAAATGGGATTTTGCAGGTGAAGGCCGGACTTCATCACGATGACCACGAGGAAGCGCCAATGTCAAAAACTGCCGTGTATCTCATGATAGGATATGCTCTCGCTCTCTTCGGTTTGTATGTGTTTTTCCGCATCTACTTTACCGAAGAGCGGGGCGTCACCGCGTAATACAAATGGTCGAGACAACTTATTGGCTGCATTTCGATGGCTTCACAACGCCAAGCATTTCTTCCGCGGTTATCATGGCGAAACGCTGAGCTCGCAGACGCCAAGGTGGGTGCGTTCCCGCCGGGTACATGCCCGCCATCCGTCCTCGCAAGTGTGGACGCGTCCGGTATCGTAATGCGTAGTTTCGCGCTAGAGATAATTAACGCAACGCTTCTTCGGAACCAACTCGACCAATTCAGTATCTCACACATTCCGCCTAGGCAAGCGCGGTTTGCTATCGCCTCGAAACGTGGCACTTAGAGCGATCGATGCAAACGCCACGCCAAGCAGTATGCGTCAAACGGTATGTACGCCGACGTTGCACGGTCCTCATGTATGAGTGCCATGCCCCAAAAGCAGAGTGTCATAAGCAACGGGAATTCTAATGAAGCGCGACGTAAAGACGGTTCGCTTTGGGTCGTGGCAGGTGCACGAAAATTATGACGGCCATGTAGTGTAACATTTGCCCCATTAGCTTGGACTTCAGTGTGGTTACGAACAAAGCTTGCACTGCTTTTCGTACTTGCCGCCACACTGCGATTGCAGGAACGGAATCGAGCCAAGCGTCCTAGTTAGCCGCAAGTCACGCGCGTTTGCACCATGCTTGCCTAGAAGCATTGTGAAGTTGACTGCTCGAGTAGCTGATACATGCGGGATTTGCAAAAAGGGGTCGACAAATTCTGCGAGCAAGTCTTCTGCGTTAGCAATTGCACGATCGATGTTGTGTCGCGCACAAGTGGGGAGCAATGGCCTGTGCAGCTTAACATCCTGCCCTCATACTTCATAGCGCAGAGCGTATCAGATGGCAATGAGACATATCGATGCGGGCTGTTTTCGCAATCGTCGGACGTACTTCTTGTATTTCAAAGAGGTTCACGCTGTCGAGAAAGCCTGAGCGGGCACTCTACGCGTTTGGGGCATGAGCAGACAAAAGGGTTTATCGTGAATAGCACTTGGCTGCGAGATCTGGCAGCAGATTGTGTTTTGGCATCGGAGTGATGTGCTGGAAACGAATGCGCATGGCTACGACACCACACTTAGTCTTCGACAAAATCAAGACGTTCAAGACGAGGTTTACACGCAGCGGATGGCAAGATTGGTATCACAGTAGCAACACGCTGGGCTAAAAAAGTAATCGTCATATGCCAATTACGCCGTAGCGCTCACGTACGTCATGCGCTGCAGAGGACGGTGTCTACTGTGTCATTCGGAACCCTGGTCGAAAGGTAGAAAACAGTGCATCGAGTGAGTTTGCGCATCATACCGACCCGACCGTATCGTTTTCGAATAATCCATCCTTGGCAAGCTCGAAGCATTTACAAGCTTGGTCAATGTACATCCTTGTTTCTGTGTTCAGCAACACTGTTCTACGACCTGGATCGTGGCTCCGACCTCGAGCTTGATCGGAACGAATGCAGATGCATCTGGTGCTATCGCGTAATAAGATACCAACGTCTTACACCGACTAACATTAGTCATTTTTATTGCGAGCTGACCAAAAGCGTCCTCGTAGGCAACCAGCTACACCAGTCTGGACAGGTTAATGCGCTTGGAAAGATTTTCAAATTAGTCAGCAATACGTAAAGCCAGGTGAGCGCTGGACTGCATGCTGGTAACGTGATATGGCGCAGACGCCTTCGAGGTGCTAAATCTTGCGTCGGCTGCTGCGATTGTCAGGCTCACAATAATTGAGATCCTCAAGACGAATTTGATTGTAGCACAAGCACTTACAAAAGTAAGTGTCGTGACCCTTTGTACTCAAGTCGAAGTTCTTCGCGATAAGGCAAGTCTGAAGACGTCACGTGTGGCACAAGCAACAAGGAGCAATATTCCAGTGTTGACATGTATTTTCCTTCTTGGTTCAGAATGGGGACACGTATTTTCCTTCTTGGTTCATAATGGGGACACGCATCGTTCTTTTGTGTCCGCGCTACTGTGCCACATGGCGTCGAAACGAGTATTAGGCTTCTGTAAACGTGACCTCGGCTCCATCAAGGTAGGTCTTCTAGTAAGACAACACTCACGCCGGCCATGAGGTGGAGAGCAGAATAGAAATGCTCACACATGATAAAGTTGATATGCCATCCAATCGACGACGACATCATCGAGGGGAACCAGAAAGGGACAAACTTTTGGCGCTGCGCTAGCTTATTTCATGACGGTCATCAACTGAGCACAACACGGTATAGAATGGAACGATACTGTCCACAAGACCACTAGATGCGTGATTAGTATGTATCCAATCCGCTAACTCATCGTGCAAGCATTAGCATCTCTACAGACATACTACAAAGTCTACTTCTTGCATAATGTTGGAAGTGGAGATGTCATAGCGGACACTCCCTTCCGGGTCGACGCCCCAGCTGCCAGGTTTGGTAGTTATAATGGGTAATTTGTGTGGGTACACTAAGTCCTAGAAGACTCTTAGTCGTTGAGCGCAGGATAGAGAAAGATCTCACTTCTAGGTTGATATGGCCACCGACGAGGACCCCGGCGGGGGGGGGGGGCGAAACGCGTCTGACGCGCGTTTTAAAATAGAAGTCATCGACCATACGTTCTTCATTTCCCACACCAAATGTTTCTGTGTATCCTGCGGTCCATGCATATTCAACAACAACCGCTTATGACATCTCGGGTAAGTTTTCAATCGTCACGTTCGACGTCAATATCCTCACTAAATCAAAGCAATTGACCTAATCTGCATTTACACGTCATTCGAGATTCTACCTAATGTAAAGCGTCTCTCCATCACAAGGAGACTGTAGCGGATCTACACAGCTTCTTGAGTCAGAGAAAGACTATAACGCTTTACGAGCAACTTGGTTCAAAGAACCCGACCCAGAGAGTCAACAAGCGTAAAGCTTACGATCCCTGTTTCAGGGTACCAAACGATTCAAAGAATCACAACAAAGAGTGCTTAAGAGTAGCTTAACAAGGCGTTTGCTAGCTCTTAATGATCTTAGACGCCTTAGGAAGGCAAGTGTCTAGTACAAATCAAAAGGGGAACTGAATTTATTTTATTACAAAAAAGAACACCTCAGACTAACGTACTTAATCTAGACACTAATGTTCTAATTAATATCTCTCGCAAAATCTCGTATTCAATGAATGATATATATCAACCCATTAACAACTGATACGGCGTTCTGATATCATTTTTGATGGGATCTTATCCTTTGTGTAAACCACAACTATGTTGTCGGCTACCAACCGACATGTAATCAAGTCACAGAGACCTACACGCTATACTACCTTCGTCGTAGGTGCGATATGTAACTTGGTAAATTGGTTCATATCGTACGCAATGCTGGATCCACAATATCCGGACCGAAACGTTGAGGTCAAGCAGGTTTTGGTGTTAGTCATCGACACTTTTTTACATAGCCATTGTCCCTAGTGACAGCCCGCTGGATATTTTGCTGCAAAAGTCGAGCGAGACTATAACGGCTGCTAAAACATGGTGTTCTTGCTTACAAGCTAGTTTACCTTAAGATTGGTGTGACACCAGTTTGAGGTGGACATTCAACAGCAGACACAAATCATTTCGAGCAACAGTCGACTCAAAAGAATCGTTCAAAGCTCAATGACAGTTTGCTTCGGCGATAGGTGGTCGCAGTGCCACCGTGTGAAGAACCTTGCGTATGTATACGAAGATATAGAACAAGTCATTCTCGACGAGAATCCCTTCAGCGCGTGTGACATCTTTGCAAATGCATCACTTCCCAATTTGCGCCTTCGGGCACTGATGGCCAAGCGACGAAGATTTCCAAAAGGCCGGACCATCGGTCCCCTCAGCTGCGCGGAAAATTCCTGTCGTGTAAATAGGTTAAAAAGGGAAAGACTTTTCCGCCAACCCTTACGCTACGGGAGGCAGCTCGGCTTGTAAACCGCAAGGGGTTCAACAACCAAAACACCCGGCGTTTGACATGTTAGGTAAAAAGTCCCTATTTATAGTATTTTACTTTAGTACCAGCGTTAAAAACATTAAAAATGGTCTCATGAACAAGATACTTTTTACAAATATTTTTTATCCATTACCAGTAATCACCATCAAATGTAAATGGGTGGTCGCAAAGAAACGCCTCCATTACCCGTCATTTACCCGTCGTTCACTTGTCGCCATCTTTCACAAAACTAAAATGAGCGTTGGCATCAGGTAGGAACCATCTACTGCTATCAACGCAATTAGTACTCCAGACATACTGTTCTAGTCATTGACTCCATGCATGCCTTCTCTGTAATGCTAATAATTACCAACGCATTCTTTGCGATTCGCAGGTTCAGTATGCCCACCTTCGGTCGAATTTCTCTTTCGATATTGGAGTTCTATAAAGAAGTGCATATGGATGATGGAAAAGTAAAAGCCAAGTGCAACTACCGCTTATGTGGTGGAGTGGTGATGACAAATTCCTTGTGATCCCGACTCTCCACTGGTGCCCAGACGTCCTACTGTCGGAGGGGGTACTCCGTTTCCGTGTCCTTGATAGCCATACTCACCTTGTATACCCATCGGCAGGGAGGGTTGAATTCTTCTAGGTGGACACGTGTTGCTAAAAAACTTGACCGTGTTTGTGATGGGGTCGAGGTTCGATCTCAGTGTGGAAATCTTCACACTGCGATTGGGGGTTAGTGTGATTACGTGGATATCGGTACAAGATCATTTGTATACTTGTAGGGTGCTCGATATGAAGCAACATGATCTGTAACATATCACCTTAGTCAAAATACAGACCTTGATTCGCGAGCCTTCTTACCACTGGAGCCGTCTCGCGATCTTGAGTCTTCAACCACATAGGGTTTTCTGTGTCCTATCGCAGTTGTAGGGTATGACATCCTTGAACGCACCTGGCCAAACAATCCAGGTGGGATAATTGTGCAGATGTAGCGTAGTCTGTGACTTCGGGTGACCAAACAATTTAGTCCGGAAGAGACGACGCGTGTTCTTAGAAGCATATTGAACT